TGAAGAGCTTATTTGTTTAATTATGTCACAACCTCATCTTATCCAGCAAATGCCATTCGATGGTGGGACTAGGAGTATACTACAGATGTCAACCCCAGATGGAACATTTTCAAATAAACCTGCTATTCTAACAGACTTATTTCAGGCAAACCAGAAATCAATTTTGAAAAACAATTCCTCGAAAATCGGACGATCAACAACAGAGGGATTATCGAACATTATAATTTATTTTCGAAGTGTCAGTGAAAATTCATCAATTTTTCTGAATTTTTACATAAATTTGACATTTTGAAAATAAATTATATTGTTCGAAAATCTCTCTGTTGTTGATCGTGTGATTTTCGAGGTGTTTGTCAAAATTGATTTCTGGGCTGCCAGAAATAAGACTGTACAATAACAGATTTATTTGGAAATTTTCTAACTGTAAAATTTAAGTTAAAATTCACCCAATGGAACACAGCCACACAGATTCAATCCAACATTTGTTCGATTTTGACATTCTGGTTATTTTTTTTTTTAATTTTGTCTAGGCCGCTACCATACTGAGAGCGAAGAGGCACGCGAATTATGAGATCGAATGTGGAAGCGGCCTTAGAGTCCTATGTTGAATCAAGTGTAAAATTAACAGGTTGCTCAGATGTTCCATTTTGGTTTCAATCAGCGATGACATTTATCCTGATTTATGAGCATGGTAAAAGTTGGGATGGTTTTAAGGCTGTAAAGCTGTAATTTTCATGCAAATCAGCTAGACTAGATCATTTCCAAGTATCAAAAATGACTTATGAAGACTAGTTTGATGCATTTTTTAGAAGTATAACGAGAAGATGAACTGAATTGGTAACAATTACAAGGAGAGAGAGAAGGATTAGTAATTTCCATTTAATTCCCCTATATTATTTTCTTATCCTTGACAGATACGCGTATTTCGTCTACAATGTGCAGACTTCTTCAGTGTCTTGTACTAATACTCGAGTATTCCACTAAGACGCCCATTTTCATCAGGAACCATTACAAGTTATGAACAATCTCAATTGAATCTTTGCAAATCATGAATTTTGTTATTGATGAATTTACACGAAACTGCACCAGTGCATGCGACACCTAGGTTTGAATTTCAAAACCATAAAAGTGATGATGTACTAAAAAATATGCCATACAATTCGACAGGTAGCAAAACATCATTATCATTTTCACATCATTTCCATTTGCCGGTCGACCATAACGTAAATTCATCAATAGCGCACATATTATTAAAACGTTTGATAAATACTCATTGTCCTCCTTTAATGTTAAGAAAGGGAATCATTGTCCTCCTTAATCTTCAAAATGAAATGTCCTCCTTTTCAAGTTTTTGATATGGTAACCCTAAAAACACATGGTTCACGGCTTACATATACCAGGCTAGCTACTCCACTCCTTTCCTGTGTGTGACGTCATCAGAATCGGTGAAATGAACAAAAAAGTTTTCATTGTCAATATACATAAATTTTCATACTTTTCTAATGAAAATTATGCATCTGTGATCTAAACATCAGATAGAATTCATGATAACCAAATTAAATGCAATGGAAAATGCAACAATAATGTCGTCGGTTTAAAAAGCTGTTCCGGTATCCACCGTATACCGTATGCTGGCTTCCATGGCAGTAATCCGGAAGAGTGGTAGCGGCTGTCTAACGAAGATAATGAATAAGAAGACGCTCCGCTCGCTACACAACATGTTCAACAACAAGGATTCGGTGAGTCAATAGGAAGCGGCCAGAAAGTACCGTTGTTCGAAGTCACATTTGCAATTAGAGTCTTGCAGAAAGAGGGAATAGTGTGTAGAAAGAAAACAATATCCCTAGAGTACACTGACGGGCAAATCCAAACCGCGCGATCCCAATGCCGCTGAATGACCCTGGTGATGATGATGATGATGGTCCCACCTCTTACCCCTTCAAAGGTTTGAGCTGGACGATTTATCTTTAAGATAATTATATATGAAATTTTACCCAGGTTAACAAACAAAATCGAACTGGTTTCAGTTACAGATATAAATTTCCTCTAGAGTTTACAGTTGCTTCACAGCGATATAAATGTGGGAAAACGCAGGCGTCCACCTCTTAGTTCAACTTTGTGTCCACCTAAAATATTCATAAGTATTACAAGCAATCAAGAGTTAATGAACAATCATCAAAGCATCCTATTACACTAGCAACCCCGCAATCTAATGCGATCATAATTGTCAGCAATGTCAGGAATGCTTACGAACCCCCAACATTTGCCAGAAAACTTACTACTAACTCAAGGTATCTTCCAAATAAGCTTCAAAATTTTATTTTTTTTAATCAAATTCTAAATTTAGTCCTCTATATCCGTAATACGAGCGCGAGGCTCAAACCTTTGTAGACAACTTTTTTTAAATTAATATACTACTATTGAATCAAATATTAAAAATCCATCATCACCAAGTACGGCGGAAAGCCAAAATATACCATATGTGCCAAAAGACCGGAATCCGACAAATCTGCCTATCGAGGATTTTTTGGTCTATTGAGCTCCATGGTATACAAGGATAATTAGAAGGCCAAGAACACCAAGCAACTCACAAACAGGATCAAAAGCTACATCCGGAAAATCGATGAGGCAGCCGTCCAACGGTCGTCTTCCAATATCATGACTAAGCGGCGACGCACGGCGGATCACGAACCCAAAATGCCATAATCCGCTAAGCTTAGTTTGAAGACTAAAGTTAACCCTTTGTATAAAATAAATCAGTTTAAACTTAACTTCACGGATGTTTTTTTCTTGACCCATTCTTTTCATTCTCATTTTTTAGTGCACACTTGTTATAAAACAGTTGTATAAGTGGGGTCTATCCGGTCACAATGTACGTTTGCTCCAGTACTTCTTTAGGCACCCAATGCTTTTAATTTACTACGATCAGAGTTTTTGAGGTCATTCTTAAAAATATATAGGAGATCTTCGTTTTTTTACGAACGACATTGTGCTCTTTGCTGTTGGGCATAGACCAGTCTCACTTCGCAGAATACTTCAGGTGGCTACCAACACCGTAAACGCATGGGTCAAATAAGTATGGTGGGGTAGGATATGCTTGGCCCCGTAACGTGGGTAGATCACCTTTTCGTGGTACGTTACGGGATGTAAGATCTACCACCGATTCCTAGTCCTGACTACTTCAAACTAGGCGAACAGGATTTTTCAGTAATCCAATGAACACATCTTAATCCTTGTTACTTTTTATGCCTTGTTGATAGTGAAAAGACTCGGCTTTGTCCACCGAGGATGATCGTGAAACAAGGAAAAACAGTCTTCATCTATTTGGTCCTAATCTTCTATTCGTTGTTCTCTAGTTAGTGGCTAAGACTACCCGAGCAAAGTCCAGCATCAAAATGACAGCAAATTGAAATCAAGTTTTGATATCAACATCAAACTGAAATTATAATTTAATTTCAGTTTACGCAATTGACAAATTTGATAACAAATTTTGTTTTCATTTTGCTGTACATTTGCTCTTCAAAAATATGTTGTTGCGGGTTTGTTTTCATTGCCTTAGCATAACATCAAATTGAATACATGTTTTGTTATCAACAGAAAAATTGATATCAAATTAAGTTTTCAGTTTGCTTTCACTGATAGCTGAAATAGTTTTCGATGTGATGTCACAGGAAGATTTGTTTGCTCTCAATTTTGATATTTTAACCGTTAAAACGACCACAACGACAGCATCCTGAGTAATCATTATCAGCGAAATCACAACATCAAATTTAGATTTCAATTTGATCTCAGACTTTGCTCGGGTAGGGTTCTGATGCATGGTCATTATCGGTGTCATACCTTGATTTTGATGCTAAGGAATCCAGGAATCCAATTTTGACTAACAAAGGGGCGCGCCTTTGGAGGGTGTTTCAACACTCCGAAGGGTATAAATAGCGAGACCTTTCAATTAGAGTCGGATCCTTGCGATAAACGCAAGAGTGGCAACTGTAAAAAAAAATCGAATACTTCATCATTTCTCAATAGTGATGGAGTAATACGACACGAGATATACTACAATAGATCAATTTTCTGTTCGCAGTAGTGTTAGGTTCCGAACAGAGGAAAAAAAATGGATGTGCCTGTAAATAGCAACTTCTGACATATTAGCAATAGCTGAAAATCGGGTCCTGATTAACCTTCCAAATTTTAAACACATTTGGTAAGAAACTGACTTGGCATAACCATTTGCAGTTTATATGGAAATTACTATGGGAAAGTCAAACTTTTTGTTCATTGCATTTTTGTACAGCGCTGTTAAAAAGTTTAATAGCTATTCTTATGAAAAAAAAAAATCAGCTACAACTTCACAGAAAATCATTTTTCAGCCAGACGTCAAATTAAATAGTTATTAGTTGTTTAAGAGATTGATAATCTAATGGCATGATCATGCAGCTGTTTTGTGGGCAACACTGTATTCTGCAGTGTGACATAGTAACCATGATTGTTGTGCTCTATTCTACATGTCATAAGACATGAGCGACATGAATCATTATTAACTTTTGTTCCTTACATTCAATCGAAAAGTAATATTTGTCAAAGTTGTAGCTTAGAAGCACAGTTATTAAGAGCAGAGTGAACTGGTGTATTTTGAGATAGATATGAACAAAACAGTTGGTTTTCCGATATTAATTTCCGTATAAACTTCATAACGTTTGTGACAAGGCTGTTTCGTAATGAATTAGTTCAACGAATGGGAGACAAATCATGACCCAATTTGGAACCGTTTGAACATCGTTCAAATTTTGCATCAGTCTACTGGTTCACCCTGGTGCCCATCATGTCTGTACAATACTAGTTTTTTTTTTTTAAAAAGAAATCAATAAAGCTATTAAATTGGGTCAGTTGATTAAATTTAATAAGAAACAAACAACGAGCATAAATCATATTGTTCTTTGTTCCGAGCATATTTTTTAAAACCACAGGACTTTCAGCACCAACTACTGATTGAAATGACTCACCTCATAGATTGGTAGGCAAATTGAATCGATAAATCCCACTTGCATAATTGGTAATTGGTCCTCTTTCTCGCGGTTCATAATGTCCTAAAAACCAAGAGAAAAAACATCCATTAGAGACCCAAATACAGCCACTTCTCCACCTCAGCAGAACTTACGATTGGAGTGATGTTCAGCTCCTGTCGTTCCATGTCGCCCTGTTCGAAAAACTCCGAACTCACCAGTTCGGCGACCCGTTTCTCGATTTCCCATGGCTTGGTGATGGCCGCCAGGTCACAAACGGTCATACTCATCGCTCGCAGCAGCGAGCGAGGTACCTCCGCTTGCCACACTTCAATCTGCGTATTTGGTTTCACTAGACTCAAAAATGGGCCACGTTTCCTGAGAGGTAAATACAAATTTGTTAACCTACACTTCGAACATGAGTTTAGTGCTGTTTGTGTCACCTAAAGTACACCGCCAGGTCGGTGGATAGGATCGCATCCTCTAATACTTTTATCACCCGGCTGTAGTCCTCGGAGGACATGTTCGATAGGATCTGGTTTCCGGGGCTGTTGATGATCATCAAGCACTGATCGAAGTGGTGATGCTCCATCGTCGATGTGGAGTACAGTTGAGCTAGGGGTGCTGAGGCTCTGTGGGAAGAGGAATTTCTCCGATTAGGATCAATCAAACTCGAGCCGGTAGCTGGCACAAACTTGATCTGGAAGGAATTGTTGGTCCCACGGTGGTCCAGATCATGGCACAGACAAGCGATGATCAACGCAAGGCACTCAATCTCGCCGAAGATCTTCCACCACTGCGTGGACGTCAGGATGGCAAACATCATCTGCGTAACGTTGAACGCGTGCCGCCAGTTGTGATAGGTGACGTTGCGATAGTTCTTCTTCACCGAACACAACCACCGGCAGAGAACTTCGTAGTCGATGTGAAACCTCTCGACCAGATCCAGATCCAGGAACATCCGCAGGCAAGCCTTCAACGTATCGTCGTCCTCCATGAAAAGGTCGTCGAATTTGAAATCATGCAGCTGGTAGAACGCTGCGGATGGAACTTTGAGTTGCTGAAGAATTAAAATAGTGGCAATTTGTGTTGGATTGGAAGGAACCGAGCAGGATGACTGATCTTACCCGTAACCGGCACGCGTCATCGATGGTGGCCGAGGCATGATAGCTGAGCACCTCCAGTGTGACGCTCTGCTTGGCCATTGCCACGATTGCTTTTTCGTACATATGGGTATTGTGGATGCCCATGCCGCAGAAGATGGCGAATGCTTCCACGAAGTTTTCGTCGTTTTTGGTAAAGGTCTGGAAAAATCTACGCTACAGTTTGATGAGAACTTACAACATTTCATGGGTACTTACAAGTTCGTCAAACTTGTTGATCAACTGTATTACTCCTATAATTTGACCTAGAGAATTCTTGATCGCCATACAGAGGATGGTTTTGTGCTGGAAGCTCTGCCCCTCGTCTACGCTGGGATCAAATCGATCGTCCTCGTAGGCGTTGCCGATATTCACCGTCTGGAACCAAGTGCATTGTTCTCATTCAGATTGACACGCAACATACATGTGGATGAACATCAGTTACCTCTCCGGTTGTGGCCACATAGCCGGTGATGCCTATGTTGATGGGAAAACGGGACTCGAACGGACTGGTCCGCGCATCACCCTCGTCCTCGCTGAGATCATTTGCTTCAAAATCGAACACACGCGAGAAGCTTCCCTTGGATGCCTCGTGCACTAGTAGGATCTAAATCGTCGGAAATTACTCAAATAAGCTGGAGTGAAATTTTTCTAAGCGAGTTCTGCAGATACTCACTTGAACTCTTTGGCATTGAATTAAGCTCTGCATGTGGGTCAATATTCGGAACACCATATGCTCGATTGTGCTCTGCTCCTCGAAAATCATTCGCGCCAAATCCAGCAGAACCTGGTTCCGTTTTACTTCCAGCTGGGACTTTTCGTACAGTTGAGCGTTTCGCAGCCCGATGCCACAGAACTGCAGATAGGACGCAAATACCTAGAATCGGAGAAAATTGAAAAATGAAATCATAATAATATCCTGGTAACTCAATATCCTCCGGATAATTCAAACTGCACGGTATCGCTCCCGGTCGGGATGCTGCATTGCTTTTACGAGTTGGATGCTCTCCATCTCCATCATACCGATATTGCATCAATTTTACCATAAAAGCAAACAATGTTTGCATTGTGCTAAAAATAGTAACAAGCCACCCCCGAAACACTCTCACCCTATTCTATGCTGCTACACATTACAGATTCAATTTTCAACCTTTTTTGAATCCATTCTCGTGTGATGTCCCATGGATCGAATGAGCAAACGAAATTTCGTTCGACATTTCTGAAATATTAAAAGTAGATCAAATGGTGGCATCTGCGGACACACAGTGGACGGATTTTTTTTCTGGTGCTGACCCTTTTCCACTCACGTAGTTCGAAAGGTGACGGGTGTTATTAAAATTGGATTCGTCATATTTTTGTGCGTATCGCGAAGCGGTAAATAGCGTTAAAAGATTTTCGGTGTTCGATTAAAAATGCAACATATACGCAGAGCCGACCAGTTACATGCTGTTTTATTCATGCAAGTGGCAAGCAGTTTTGATGTTTTATTTTTAATTAAGACCAATTGGCTTGTGGAAATGCATTCACGGTGCTGTGGCTACCATAAAACATGAATAAAATAGGCGGAATGTGATTGGCTGGTATGAACATTTCGCACTTTCATTCCGTACGTCACATTTAAAGGGACGCTTTGTTAATGTTGGTTGGTATTGCAAAATTAAACAGAAATACATTGAATTGGTTTATGACCAGAATTTAAGTACTGCCTTTGTAACTTTGATTCAAAAGCTTCACCGTCTGGTTTTCATCAGTTTCAATATCAATGCAATTGATAAAAATATCTCAGTCATACAAAATATTGATCTTGATAGCACAAAATGATATGCATTTGCACGATATTTAAGAGGCAAAATATCAAGAAATAATATCTGAAATTTGTATCATCTCTATTGGTTCTCTGTGTTATTACAGTTGATCTGGCTATTACGGAGTAGCATTCGCAGGCGGTCAATCATGCTCGTGCTCATGCTCACGCAATTATGGCTTTAAAATCGGTATTTCTTCGGCATTGTTTTCATTTGAGTTTTAAATTGCATTGTGTACAATCTTCAGCAAAGTTGCGTTAATTTATGCAATTAAAAACTTGTCCAAACATATAATGTTATTACAATCTCGAATGAAAGTGTTGTTGAAGAAATACCGATTTAAAAGCCATAATTAAACTGAAAATCTTGATGTTTTTAACTCCTATGCAATACTCCACAACTTCCCTTCGAGTATTTTTACTTCAAAATGTTCATCGCGGTATTAGTTTTTGAAAATATTTGCCACATTTTGAGATTTGACTTATGTAAAATATCATGTTTTTAACGCGGAGAGCGACACATCTAAATCTCAATTATAGATGCTCAAAAAATCTTACACTAACGAATCAATCTTCGAACAATCTTCTTTCATTTATCGCATCTTCTCGCATCTACTTGCAGAAAATCTTCAGAATCGTCATCAATCTTCTTTCTGTCTACTCAGCATGCGCGCAGTTAGCGGTTCCTGTGGTGTAGTGGTAAGCGTGATGACCTCTCACCCCAGCAGGCCTGGGTTCAATCCCAGTCGGCGCCGACGGGATGTTCTGAGGCAAAACATCTCTGATCACGCCTTCCTTCGGAGTAACCGGAAGGAAGTAAAGCCGTTGGTCCCCGGTTCATGAGTTGATGGGTCGATAGGTAGGGTCCAGGTGTGGGAGCTGCCTTCCTGGCGTCGCACACTGGGGCACATCAGTGATTTTCTCGGAAAAAATTAATAACTTTTGAACAAAGCATCCAATCAGAATACTGTCTTGAGTAAAGTTGTTTGTTTTAGTTAAGCGCTTCTTTTGAATAAATTAATTAGTTCGCAACTTGGTCGTAGAGATGGCGCGCGAATCTAACTTTTGAATAAAGCATCCTAGACGTATGGTGTTTTCAACAAAGTTTTTTATCTATTAAAATGAAGACATAAAACTTCCATAATCTTTAGTTTCGGAGATATAGGGTGTATTGAAAAATATGATGCCAACATTCTTATTTGTAATTTTTTTGTATATTTTCATATGTTTGCTCTGGTTTCTGCATTTATTCCAACGAAAACAAACTAGGTGCAAATTTTCATTGCACTATTTGTGGAATTTATAGTGGTTTTAGTGAAATATTCTCGAAAAACATTATATTTTGCCTCTATTTTAGGTGGGTGGGATTCTCGTAGGGGCAGCTAAGGGCAGCTGGACTTTGTCTCTTTTGCTAGCTCATGTCATTGTCTAACATATACCAGAAAAGTGAAGACATGATATTCGATGATTTTTTTTAATTTCACCTTTTGTAAGCCGTTACAAATATCTCTACTAATAAGGAAACCTGTCAGTTATGTATACTTTTTATTCGTTTGCAAAAGCAGTAATGGTTTAAAGATTAAACTATCTCTTAAGTTGAAGTATTTAAAAATCAGTTGTCCTTAATTGTCACTATTTGTCAAATGAATCCGGTGGTTGTAATAATGCCAATACCTCGCTAATTTTTTTTTTATTAATTGGGCTGAATTTTTCTTTGGTCTTTTTCGCAGACTTGTTATTAATGGATCTGGTTGTAAAAATAGTTTGATGTGCTTGTGTGATCTATTATCTTTACTAAAATTAATTTTGAGACATGCATGTTGAGCATATGGCATAGAATAAACAACTGTTGAAAATTTACATTGAAGGTGAATCCATTATTGCTCAACACCGGAAATTGATCACTGAACTGAGACGAGAAAAAAATTCACGCATATGGATACCAACTACTGAAACATTGACGCACATTAATTATTGCTCAACACCGGTCTCTTCGAAAAAGTAATCGATAATTGTACGTTGTACACGATCACGTTGGCACGGCAGCACACAGCTTGTACGATGATGTCACATATACAACTTTACCTGGATAATGCAGCTGATTGAGCTGACGTATACATGGTGGAAAGGGACGGATAATCGTGTGGTAAGCAGAGAGTCAAAAGCAGATGATAGCATCAAAAACATGGCCGCCAGCCAGGCCCCTGGTTCGCTGGCAGCTCATAATAAGTAAACAATCTCAATATTCAGCACAGCATTTAAAAATGGTGACATGTCAAAAATTTATATAATGTTTTTCATTATGTGAAACAGTTCATTTCAATGTAAAGGATGTTTTTATCGGTATATATAAAGTGAAATTTAAAAAAATCATCGAATATCATATCTTCAGTTTTCTGGTATATGTTAGACAATGACATGAGCTAGCAAAAGAGACAAAGTCCAGTTGCCCTTAGCTGCCCTTTCGAGAATCCCACCCACCTAAAATAGAGGCAAAATATCATGTTTTTCGAGAATATTTCACTAAAACCACTATAAATTCCACAAATAGTTCAATGAAAATTCGCACCTAGTTTGTTTTCGTTGGAATAAATGCGGAAACCAGAGCAAACATATGAAAATATACAAAAAAAATTACAAATAAGAATTTTGGCATCATATTTTTCAATACACCCTATATCTCCGAAACTAAAGATTATGAAAGTTTTATGTCTTCTGCAACTTTCCTTCATTTTAATAGATAAAAAACTTTGTTGAAAACACCATACGTCTAGGATGCTTTATTCAAAAGTTAGATTCGCGCGCCATCTCTACGACCAAGTTGCGAACTAATTGATTTATTCAGAAGAAGCGCTTCACTAATACAAACAACTTTACCCAAGACAGTATTCTGATTGGATGCTTTGTTCAAAAGTTATTATTTTTTCCGAGAAAATCACTGATCTACCCCAGTGTGCGTCGCTTCGTCGTGACTGTAAGCAGTTCGTCACACAGTGTATCCCCTGCCAAAAATCAAAAACACAGCGATATAACAAGACGCCATTTTCCAGGATCCCAACACCTGAAAGCCGATTCGCTCACATCCACATGGATCTGATCGGCCCGCTCCCACCGTCGGAAGGTAATATGTATTGCTTGACCATCATCGACAAATTCACCCGATGGCCTGAAGTCTTCCCACTACCGAACATGACGGCACTCACCTTAGCTCGTACCTTCATCAACGGCTGGATCGCACGGTTCGGGGTGTCTACAAACGTGACAACAGATTGTGGTAGGCAGTTCGAATCTGAACTGTTTGGCACACTGACAAGACTGCTCGGAATCACACACTTGCGTACAACCCCGTATCACCCCCAAGCCAACGGTCAGATCGAGCGAACACATCGTCAGCTCAAAACAGCGATCAGCTGCCATCAACACTCTCGTTGGACCGAAGTTCTTCCCATCGTGCTCCTCGGAATACGCTCGTCATTGAAAGAGGATCTACAAGCAACCGCAGCTGAGCTTACCTTCGGTCACAGGAGTGGAACTTTGGATCAGAAAGTGGCTCCACTTGTCATTTGCGAACACTAGCGCACCTAGCGGTAGAAGGCATCTTCTGCCTGCAGTTAAGATAGGCAGCATGCTATGATAGTGTGAGTGCACATAGAAAGCCCTGTGGAACGCTACCACAACACATCGCTTGTTGAGCAGAAAAACGAACACTTTTTGATTCACCGATTTGTTTGCACTTCTCCTTCTGTTCTGTGCTTCGGTACATCGCTTCGGTTGCCCGGCGAATTTTTCATCTCGGGTGATAGTAACAAGCCGACACCCGAATTCGTAACTGATTTGTAAGCCACCATGTCAACGTTGCGACCAACACCAACCAGCAATCACTCTACAAGGAAAACTACCTTCGTGCAGAAACACTTGTCCACGTGCAGCCATGCTTTGTGAAGGTAGGAACAATCAAACCACCTCTTTCGCAGCCGTACGATGAACCATACCCAGTGATCCGTTGGAAAAAAAAGGTTTTCGTTGTGGATATAAAGGGTAAACCCACGGCGATTTCAATCGATCGTCTGAAG